ATATTTGCATACAAGTTTTGATATGAACACCTGTATATGTTAGATATATACCTAGGAATGAAACTGCTGGGCTATGTACTTTCTTTCTTCAAATGATTGAGCCATACTCACCAGAATTGTATGATGGTTCTAATTTCTAACGTAATTGCCAACACATTTTATTATCTGTCTACATTATAGTCATCCCAGTATAGGCAGTATAGGAAGTGATATCTCACTGTGACTTAAATTTGCATTTTCATAATAGCTAATGATGTCGAGCAACTTTTTGTGTGTTTGATGGACATTGTTACATCATCTTTGAAGAAATCTCTATTTAAAACCTTTGTTTATTTTTAAATTCAGGGTTTTTTTTTTTATTATTGAGTTGTAAGTACTCTTGGTATACTCTGAATACAGGTCCCTTTCCAAATATATGATTTGTAAATATTCTTCCTCTAAGGTGTCTTTTCACTTTCTTCATGCTGTCCTTTTAAACACAGGAGAATTAATTTTGATAAAACCCAATTTATCTATTTTTTTAATAAGATTTATTTATTTATTCATATAGAACTGGGGTACAGGCCAGAGATGCGGAGGGTGAGAGGATTCACCAGAGACAGAGTGGGGTGCAGAACAGGCAGATCAATGAAGTACACTGCTGAGGGGAGCAGCGGGCGGGTCAGGAGAGGTCTGCCACACCATGTGGTCTCCTCCGGGGGCAGGCGGGAATCGAACTCATGCGGAAGTGGCTTAAGCTTCTCAGTGCAGTGCTTTAACCCGCTGCGCCACCAGGGAGGGCCCAATTTATCTATTTTTTTAAATTCTTTTGCTTGTGTTCTTGGTGTTGCACCTAAGAAAACATTACCTAGCTCAAGTCATGAAAATGTACTCCTTTGGCCCTCCCTGGTGGTGCAGTGAGTTAAAACACAGCACTAAGATGCTTAAGTCACTTCCACATGAGTTCGATTCCCGCCTGCCCCGGAGGTGACCACATGGCACCGCAGACCTCTCCTGACCCGCCCGCTGCTCCCTTCAGCAGTGTACTTCTTCGATCTGCCTGTTCTGCTCCCCACTCTGTCTCTGGTGAAGGCTCACACTGCCCCTGCACCTCTGGCCTGTACCCCAGTTCTGTCTGAATAAATAAATAAATCTTTATTTTAAAAAAATGTACTCCTATATTTGCTTCCAGGAGTCTTATAGTTTTAGCTCTAATTAGACCTATGATTCATTTTACATTAATTTATGTCTATAGATTGAGCAAAGATTTAACTTCTTTTTTTTTCCCTATAGATATACAATTGCCCCTCTACCATTTATTGGAAACATTGTTATTTCACCCATTGAACTGTCTTGGTGACTTTGTAGAAATAATTGATCTCTAAATTATTTTTAATTTTTTTCTATATTTTTATTCTCCATTATACATTTTACTTATGTTTGCTACAATACCTATGTACATTATACACACATTTTCCATTTTCATCTTCTATGGGATTTTTATTTAGCTTGGCATAAAAGAAAAAAACCTCTAATTTACCGTTTGTGATCAGGTGGAAATTCAGAGTGAGCACAACAGACTCAATGTATGGAAGCACAGAAGATTGTTAAGAAAAAAATTAATTTACCTAGCTAGTTAAAAGGGAGAGGGCATTTATGACATTGGTGTGGCATAAAAATATTTTTAAATGCTAGAGAGCATATTTTCAAATGACAGAAGCAGATTGTGGGTAACTTTTATTAATGATTCAGAGCCATGTTGGGAGAATGAGCTTATGAACAGCTGATAGAAGTAGTAATTTAGGCTCAAATACCAACAAAAGGAAAACCAGCACCGGGGCAAGGCAACCTGCAGGAGCAGTCATCCAAATTTGCTATCAATCAGTTTTCCTTTTTTTTTTTTCATTTTTATTCATATATTTGGCGAGGACCATGCTACCCACATTGTATGGCAAGGTCCTGACGTGGGGGAGAAAATCCTGAAAAGTCAGGATATCTACAGCTGGTTCCTGCTGGATTCTTTTTGTTTTGTTTATGGCCATTTCCAAGAAGTATAGAAGCTCCTTTTGTAGATCAAAAAAGGGGTTTTTCCTTAGGGGCAGGGAAATGTCAGTGCGCTCAGCATTGGTGTTCGAATTTCTGACTCCTAGTTCCTTAACATTAGATCCTGTACCTTTAAGATGTATGTTCATTGAGAAATTAACAAAATGATTGCTTAAGTTGTAATAGCCAACTGATCACCATAGAAATATTTTGTTTACTGGTAACTGACCACTATCGGAATATTTTGTTTGATGACTGATCACCATAGGAATATTTGTTTATTAATGACCGGTCACTACAGGAGGATTTTGTGTATGAATATCACAGTCTCAATAAGAAATCAAAAAGTCAAATTTAAGAAAAATGTGATGATTGTTATCATTCTGGTTTATGCAGATACTGAAGCAATCCTACCCCTGGCTTTTATGTATAAATAAAGAACTGCTGGGACAATTGACAGAAGATGCTTTCACCTTAGTCAGGTGTTTGTGTCTCCTCATTTTCCTCACTCTCTCTCTTTTTCCCCTTACCTTTTCTCTTTTTCTCTCTCTCTCTCCTTCACCCACCTGTTCGCCGACCTGTCCTTTCCTGCAGGAGACCCTCCCTACCTCAGCTGAAGCAGGTCTCCCATATATATTTTTACATCATGTTCATTTGTGTACAGGGTTTGAGTTCTCCTTTCAGGTGTTGTTCCCATAAAATTACCACCACCAAGACACCAAGAATAGTTAAAATTCTTAGCTTAGAAGGAATAGGGGAGGTTGTTGTTGTTGTTTTTTAATCCATATTAAAGTGAAGGTACAGTTAAAAGTTGAGATGAATAAAAATGAGGACTATAAAAATTGCATTCAAATTGACTATTGAGAACTTATTAAGAGTTCAGTTTTGGTTCACCAGTTAAGGTAGAAGCTAAATGTCATTATACTGAAGATTTGATCAAGACAATACTGGAAAAAAAAAAAAGTACAGAAGTAAAAGAGAGAGATATTGCAAAATTACTGGTAGTATCAGAATCAAAAGAAGTTGTAATTTCCCCCAATGGAAAAGATTTTACATGTTTGCAAGAAAGAAGTCATTGGGAAAGTGAGGTTGAAGGGCGTGATGGAGAAAGAAAAGCAGGGGAAAAAGTTGTTTCTCCAACGAGAGGGAAATATTCCCCAAGACTTACACAGAGGATAAAATATACCATCTTGGGAGAAAGAGAGCACTAACCACCAGGTGAGCAGAGCCTTTTCCTTCTGACCTGGAAGGAAGGGTGGAAAGCTGGGTGTGAATATAAATGAAAACATGAACAGCACTTAAAGGGGTTCCTGTGAGATGCCCGTGTCTTCTAGGAAAGTTAGAAATTACTGTGGGAATTCCTGGGTAGCGACGTGAATAAGAGTTCATCAGTTCTTTAGCAAAAGGAATGAAAGCATGTCATCCTTGTCTAGTAATCTGTTCCAGCATTCTGAATCTGAATCTTTCCACAAGAGGGCGATGTCCTCAATAGTAGATCAGCAAAAAGAATTAACAAAATCTAGGCTTCCTTGTGTCCAGTCACTGTTGTCAGTCTCATTGCAATGAAATGAGTACAAATTTCATAAATGTTGCTTTGAAGATATCATCTTTGTAAATGCTGTCTGTATTGCTCTTTGATATAATACATAAGTCATGACCATGATGTGTTTCAATATGTACAGTTGATCTTAAACAAAGGCAATTAGTTATTTCAACAACAAATGGTTTAGTTGGAAACAAAGTAACAGAAAAGAGGGTAGACTGGAAAATGTATTCATGGAGAAACCCACAGTCTCTTCTCCAAAATCCAAAACTTAACAACCCTCTCTACAAACTCAGAGGTATTTCACTTCAAAGCTGGCTCTGGGAAGTTAAAATGTGACTGTGGCTGCCACTTTCACTGTGGGATAACAAGCCAGGATTTACCATATTCGTTGATTAATTATGGAAGACTGTGCCAAAATAGAGAAAATTGGAGAAGGTGCCTATGGAGTTACATATAAGGGTAGGCACAAAACTACAGGCCAGGTGGTAACAATGAAGAAAATCAGACTAGAAAGTGAAGAGGAAGGGGTTCCTAGTACTGCAATTCAGGGAATGTCCCCACTGAAAGAACTTAGTCATCCAAATGTAGTCAGTCTATGTGAGATTCCAGGTTATATCTCTTCTTCGAATTTCTTTTCATGGATCTCAAAAACTACTTATATCCTTCCTGATCAGTTAATGGATTCTTCACTTGTTATTTGCACCAAATCCTACAAGAGATTATGCTTTTTTCACTCTACAAGAGTTCTACACGCAGACATAAAACCTCAAAATCTATTGATTGAAACAATCAAATAGGCTGATTTTTACTTTGCCAGAGCTTTTGAAATACCTCTCAGAGTGTATTTCACTCTGGTGACAATGGCATAGATTTCTAGAAGTTCTTCTGGGGTTAGCGCACTATTACACTCCAGGTGACATTTAGAGCATAGGCACCACATCGGCAGAATTAGCAATTAATAAGCCACTTTTTCATGGGGATGCAGAATTTTCAGAGCTTTGGGCACTCCCAATATGGAGGTGTGGCAGAGTGGAATCTTTACAAAACTGCAAGTATACGCTTCCGAAGTGGAAATCAGGTCACCTAGCATTCCATGTCAAAAATTTGAATGAAAATGACTTGGATCTGCTCTCAGAAATGTTAATCTATGAACCCACCAAATGAATTTCTGTTAAAAGGCACTGAATCGACGGGGCGGGGTGGGGTGGGGAATAATAATGAACAACCATATACCAGAGACATTTTACAGGAGTAGAGTGGGGAATGGGATCAAAAAGGGGAGGGGGGATGGGGAGGGCATTGGACTATGGTGATGGCACAGGGTGATTTGGTGATGGGAAGCCCACGGGGATTACAACTGAGATGGAAAAATGCACAAAATGATGTAAAAACAAACTATTATATTAAAGCAAATGTAGTAACAACAACAAAAATGGCACTGAATCATGCATATTTTAATGATTTGGACAATCAGATTAAGATGTCATTTTCTGATAGTTTCCACATGTTATATCAAGAACAGACATTAACATTTTTACTGGTAAATCTATTTTTGTCTTGTTTATTTTTCTTTGTTGTAAAACTTAAGCTGTACTTTCTATCCTAAATTAAAAACTTTAACTTAAATATGTAAATATTATTATATATTAACTTAAATAAAAATAATTCTGTATATGTGGATGAAACAAGTTAGTATAATAAAACTATCAATCTTTATGTCAAGAATTGGGAAAAATTGTTATTTTAAATCATTTCAAGTCTTATAGCAGTTTTGGGATTTCTGTAAACACTGAAATTTAGGAAAGTATGCTAAGTTCAAAGTTTATAATGCTTTGAAGAGTTTTTGTGCTGTTTCAAATTTGACAGTTCATTGCTTTAAGGATGAATGTTTTTCAATTTGTGACCTAAATAAGCATTCAGAATGAAAAAAAAAACTATTTAAATTTGAGAAAAGATGTTAAATTTGTAGAGGTTTTCAGTAATTTATAACACTAATATTAAAGCTGGCCAAGGTTTGCTAAGGTTTACAAGGTCAAAGATGGTATAGAGCAGAGAAGATCTGTACAGAAAATTTATGAAATCCATTTTTTATGTAGGGCATAAAAGCTTTTTGTCTTTGTGAATTCTTAAGCTTTGACAAAAAAAAAATAATAACTAACAAAGGAATTGCTTATCTTGGTTTCAAAGTGTGAGTAAAGACCCTCTCTGTTGGCGCAGCGGGTTAAAGCACAGCACTGAGAGGCTGCTGGCTGCTGCTTCACTCGAGTTATATCCCAGCCTCCACCCCTCCAGGCGACCCACATGGCGCGGCAGACCTCTGCTGACCCGCCGCCCCCCTCAGTAGTGAACTTCGTGGAACCGTCTGTTCTGCTCCCCACTCAGTCTCTGGTGAATCCTCTCACCGGCCCTGCATCTCTGGCCTGTTCCCCCAGGTCTCTATGCATAAATAAATAAATCTTTTTTTAAAATAAAGTGTGACTAAAAAAAATGGCCCTCCCTGGTGGCGCAGCGGGTTAAAGCACTGCACAAAGAAGCTTAAGGCACTTCCACATGAGTTCGATTCCCGCCTGCCCTGGAGGTGACCCACATGGCATGGCAGACCTCTCCTGACCCGCCCGCTGCTCCCCTCAGCAGTGTACTTCCTCCATCTGCCTGTTCTGTTCCCCATTCTGTCTCTGGTGAATTCTCTCGTCCTTGGCATCTCTGGCCTGTACCCCCGTTCTGTATGAATAAATAAATAAATCTTTAAAAAAAAAGTGTGACTAAAAAAAGTATGTTCAAATTTTTGTTATTAGCAGTTTTCTTAGAAGGCTCTAATGTGCAGGTTTTTAGGTAAAACACTAGCTTTAGGGATTAAATAGTTGACTAATAATTAAAAAGCCCTCTGGAGGACCTCCCACCCAGTTCCTTGGGGATGGGGGAGATGGGAAATATAGGGGTGGTATAGTTTGCTGATTTATGTCCTTGTGGATACTCCCTAGCCTCCTGAACTTACCTAAATGTGGTCCTAACTATTACTGTTCACAACAGGTACACTTGGGCGATATTGCAGGTTTTGTTCCAGAACACCACTATAAGGTTAATATAACAATGGTAGGAGTCACACATATTTGGGGAGGGGGGGGTTTCCAAGACAGCAAATAAAAGTTAAGTTCATGGTGTACAAGGTATATTAACTGTGCAATAGCATTATGTTTAAAAATATAGAGACATTTTTAATGAAGTGGAATGGCAAAACTTCTTAAGGAAGGCCTAGACTTCTTAAGGCCTGTTCTTACACTTATATTTCATGCTATCAGTCAAAGCCAAATACAAGCCAACAGAGTCAAACATTGGAAAGACTTAGCTTTCACTGATTTTGTGGTAAAGATTCTGTGGCCACTTTTATTTCCTCACAAAGGAATTAAATAAAATTCAGTTTTAACATTTAAATATGTATTAATTTTTATTTAAATGTGTTATGTTTTAATATATAGAGTTCTGTATTAATTTAAATATAATAATTTTGTAAAATGTCTACTGGTATCTGGCTCAAAGCAAATTATTTCAAAATGTTATTTGTTTTTGTTGTTGCTATTATTGCTGTTTGCCTTTTATTTCAATAACAAAAATACAATACTCTGGTAAAGAAGATAGGTGAATTGTTTTTGTTTTTGTTTTTTTTACATGAACTGAGATTTGATCAAAATATGGAAAACAAAAGATAAATAATTCATATAGAAGTCTTTGCACTAACAGTAAATGCCTAAATATACAGGTACTCTAATAACTTGAGATGTTTCTGAGAAAGCATTTTTTTTTTGCATGCAATTAACTTGACAGACTGAGATTAAGAAGAAAATTTCTGAGCATTTAAAAAGTTTTAATACCCCTTTTGTAACTTACCAAATGTTTGATCATTTCTTTTGTCTTCCTTTATATTTTAGGAATTAGAGAATAAAATTCCAGCACAATGTTCCTTAATAGAGACATGGACCCAATTAAACACCATATGACAACAGAGTCTGCTAAATATTCAGTATGTACTTGATTCTGAAATATTGTACACAAGAAAATCTATATCCAATAATTTGAAAAATATGAACTATTAAATATTTAGTGACATACCTTGGTGGTCATAGGGAACATAAAAGTTTACTTCAATGACTTATATCCTTTTTAATCTTAGCAAAAGGCAGCTCATCCGTGGGTAGGTCAATATGAATGCTAGCTTGTTTTTCTGATGATAGTAATTTTAAAGAGCATTTTAAAGAGCCATTTGTCAACTTTAGTGCCTTCCTGTGTACTACCCTTGCAGTGGAATGGGCTAGAATGTAAAGGAAACTCAATTGGGCTAAATGACACAAATTTGGGCTCTCACACAAGATTTTGATCTCCTTCGCTTTCCAAAAATGACCTAAGAGGACCTCCTTGGTGGTATAAGGGTCTGTGCTCTTACCACTATAGCCTGGGTCCCCACCAGGCTGATGACCCACATATGGTGCAGCAGACCTCTCCTGTCTCACCCATGGCTCCCCTTAGCAGTGTATTTCAGTCAATCTGTCAGTTCCATTTCCCACTCTGTCTCTGGTGAGTCTTCTCGCCCCCACACCTCTGGTCTACACCAGTTCTACCATGCATTAATAAATTCATCTTTAAAAATAGCCAGAAGGCTCTAAAAAATATTATTCTCTCAATATAGGGTTTTATCTAGAGAAGGATACTTATTTTAGATATTTATTGTCTTTTCTACCCATGACTATCTCCAAACATCTCCATATGTAACTATTTGCTTTGGTAAAATAGCCCAGTGAATAAGGACTACCACAGTTCCCTTTACATTGCATTTCTGAGCATTCTGAGCTCTTTGGACACCAGGAGAATGCTTTGGTGTTGTCTTCTTCCTTTGAAGAAGTGTGGCCTTACTCAAAATGAAGGTAGCAAATCCACAGTTGCCTCTTTCCATTGTGACTCAGAATATTAGAGTTGGAAAGATCTTAAAGACTTGAGAGCCCAGGTCTAAGGAACTTACAACAAAGGGCTTATGTGTCAAAAGGATAGCCTTTTGGAAGAATGTGATGTGATCTTTGATCTGTAGTCCAGATTGCCACTGTTGATTTGGCTTAGTTAGGTGAAGCTGTTTTCTAGAGATAGATGCTTCCATTTCTGTGGTTGTTTGTTAATCTCTAGCACACATGGGTCTGGGGCATGACTGTATTTTGATCAATCTTATGACATCCCTCTTTTACCCCCATAGCTGCCAGAACTCTATGCATCTGTTGAGAATTTCAATAAGGAGAGAAAGAAATCAAATCTCCTGAAAATTCAGGGCATTTCACTTGAAGAAGCACAGAAAATGCTTATCCAAAACCTGATTTCTATGTCATCCATCAGTAAAACGGATGTGGGAGATCTCCAGCCGGTTTTCAAGGCCTCAGTGGATAGACGAGAAGTGAAGCCAACATCTATGACTGACATCCTCCACCGCAGCTTACTGACCAGCTCCCTCTCTCCTGTGGAGAGACACACCAAATCCCGGAAGAGGCTGGCTCAGTATGGGATCTCTCTTCCAGATCACACGTTTCCTTATGACATCCTCCTCCAGCATGCCAGCGAGCTGGCACTTATTGAGATACGGAAGAAGATTCAGAGAACCATTGCACTAGGCAGGCTGGGTCTTCAAAAATATACCACCGACAAGTTAATCTTTGATGACAGAATTCCTAAATATTTTCTAGTTGATCCAGGTAATCTAAACAAAGAAGCCATGAAAGTCCTTTTGCAAAACTGACTTGCTCTCCTAGAACAGATGAAATGAATGTTGACTTTTGGGAATCTTGCAATTCTGGGGTTCATGGCTGCTGTTTTTTCTGCCTACAGTGTCTGTGTGAAATAGCAGCAAATGAAATATTCCAAATCAAATCTCAAATCCATTCCCAAAAAAGTTATTTTTATAATATGAGCCAATTCAAGTTGGACTTGAAAACACAATGACTATTTGTCTATCACAAGTCAAGCTCTTCTTGAATAATGACATCTTTTTTCCAACCAGAAATGACATTTTGTTATTTGGGCTAATCTGCTCTCAAACAGGAGGACAGATAAAATTAACCAGCATATACTTACTGCAATTATTTTCTCACAGTATGAGATTTGTCTTTTTTTTTTTTTTTAAGATTTATTTATTGGTACATACAGAACTAGGGTACTGGCCAAGACTCAGGGGCGGTGAGAGGCTTCACCAGAGACAGAGTGGGGGGCAAAACAGGCAGATCAACGAAGTACACTGCTGAGGGGAGCAGCAGGCTGGCCAGGAGAGGTCTGCCGCCATGTGGTCACCTCCCCGGCAGGCAGGAATCATGCGGAAGTGGCTTTAGCTTCTCAGTGCAGTGCTTTAACCCGCTGTGCCACCAGGGAGGGCCAAGATTTGTCTTTATTTTTTTAATGAATCTTTAGAAGAGTAGAAGATTTATATTTTAATGAAGTCCATTTCATCAATGTTTTTTTTTCTTTTTTTAAATTGCATTTTTTTTATTGAGGTAATGCTTGTTTACAGCACTGCATATGATTGAGAGGTACAGGTTCACACCTCTTAAGATGTATGTTACCACACTACACCCACAACACATAACTCTTCACTGTTGTCTATTAAATTCCCACCTTGCTGCACTGCCAACCCCCTTCACCTCTGGCAGCCTCATTTTTTTTTTTTTTTTTTTTTTGCAGTCACATTTCTAGGGTCCAGGTTGGTTTCATTTTGTCTGTTCCTTTGTTTTGTTTTTTCGTATTCTATATACGAGTGAAATAGTGTTGAGATTTATCTTTCTCCTTCCAAATTACTTTGCTTAGCAGAGTCCTCTTAGGTTCCATCCATATTGTTGCAAAAAAATTGTTGCAAAGGGATGTTGAAAAAAATTTATATACCTGTTGGCCATTTTCATTTCTTCTTTGGAAAAGTGTCTTTTTAGCTCTTCTGCCCCCTTTTTTCTGGGTAGTTTACTTTGTTTTTGTTGAGTCATGTGAGCTCTTTGTATACCTTTGCAATCAGTCCCTTATCATTTGTATGGAGTGCAAAATTTTTCTCCCAGTCAGTAGGGTTTCTCTTTGTTTTGGTTATTTTCTCTTTTTCTGTACAGCTATTTAGCTTTTCCTTCACTTTCTTTGCTTTGAGGGATGAGTCTTTAAAGATGTTACTCCGATATATGTCTTGTAGTGTTTTACCTAAATTTTCTTCTATATATTGAATGTTTTTAGGTCTCTTATGTTAATTCTTTTACCTGTTTTGAGTTTATTTTTGTGTATGGTGTGAGGTAATATTCTAGTTGTACTCTTTCGAATGTGGTGGTTTAGTTATCCTAGCACCACTTGTTGAGTAAACTGTCCTTTTTCCATTGCATATTCTTTTCACCTTTATCAAAGATTAATTGTCCATGTATGTGTGGCTTTATTTCTGGACTTTCTATCCAGTTCCATTAGGCTGTGTCTGTTTTGGTTTTAATTATTCTGGAAATCTGGTAGTATGATACCTCCACTGAAATCTGGTAGTATGATACCTCCATTCTCCTTCATTTTAGTCAGGAGAGCTTTGGCTATTTAAGTTTTTTAGGCTTCATATGAATTTCATCAATATTTGTTCTATTTCTTTGAAGAATGTCATTGAGATATTTATGGGGATTGCATTGAATCTGTAAATTGCTTTTGGTAGGATGGCCATTTTAATAATGTCAGTTCTTCCAATCCATGAGCAGGGGCTGTCTTCCCATTTCTTTGTGTGTTCTTCTATTTCTTTTAATAATGTTTCATAATTTTTTTTATAGGTCACTCATCTCCCTGTTTTTTCCCAGGTGTTTGATTTTTTTTGTTTCAATTATAAATGGGATGGTTTTCTTAATTTTTTTCTTCTTCAGATTGATTGCCTTTAGGAAGGCTACTGATTTTTGTGTGTTGATGCTGTATCCTGCCACTTTACTAAACTGGTTTATTATTGTAATTAGTTTTTCTGTGGAGTTTTTAGGGTTCTCTGTGTTTAATATCATGTCACCTGCAAACAGTAGTTTGCAGTTACTTCTTCTTTCCTGATTTGGATTCCTTGTAAGCCTTTCTGTCATCTTATTGCTCTGGCTAGGACTTCCAGTATTATATTAAAAAGCAGTGATGAGAGTCATGAGACTGGAGATCCTTGTCTTGTTCTTGATCTTAAAGGAAAGGCTTTAAGCTTTTCACCACTGAGAATAACACTGGCTATGGGTTTGTCATATATGGCTTTATCATGTTCCTTCTATCCCGAGAAGTTTATCATAAATAGATGTTGTATTTTGTAGAATGGTTTCTCAGCATCTATTAATATGATTATATGGTTTTTATTTTTCTTTTTGCTAATGTGTTGGATTACATTAATTGATTTTTGGATGTTGAACCATCCTGAACAATATTAATTCTTCTAATCCATGGGCAGAAAATATCTCTTCAATTCTATTTCTCCTTTTATTTCTTTTAATCAATATTTTATTGTTATAATTCGTTATCTATCACCTTCTTTGTTAAGTTTTTTCCTAGGTATAAAATTTTTTTTCTATGACTAAAAATGGTATAGTTTTCCTCTTCTAGTTCATTGGTTTTGTATAAAAATGTCAATTTTTAATTGCAAACTTGTTACTTGATTTTATATAGTGGCTTATATTTTCTTAAGTACCCTGGCTTTACTTTATAATGAGCTCTATCCCTTCCTTATTGTTACATTGCTACAACCAACAGAAGGAAACACTCCTTTCATCTGATTCTTTAACAGGAAAGTATAAAGGGCAAAAGAGTATTTATAAAGGGCAAAAGAGGGGCCCTCCCTGGTGGCGCAGCGGGTTAAAGCACTGCACTAAGAAGCTTAAGCCACTTC